CAGCGAGAGCAGCATCTTGAAAACACAAAATCGGAAGCGCGGAAATGAGGACGCGTAGCCTGACATAGCATGGCGTGGTGGCGCCCCAAAGTGGGGGGGCTTCTGCGGCCCAAAAAATCAGCGAATCGACACCGAATGTGGAATCATTTTCGATGGTTTCTTCGGGGGGCATTTTCTCGATTTTAGGGCCATTTGGAAGGACTGAAAACCATGCCGTGACATGACGCTGGAAATAATGACGCTAGCGCTAAAGCAGGAGCACGATTCGGAACGAGCGGAAGCGCGGAAATGAGGCCAGCGCTGCAGCGGGCTAAGGGGGAGGGGAGGAGTGGAAGTAGGAGCAGGGGTAAGGGAGCCGCAGGGGGAAGGGAGCCAGGAGCTGAGAGCGTGGGCAAGCAAGCATGTTCTGGGCAACTCGTGCTGCCATAATGCAAAACTGGCAGCTGCCCACTCATGGTACGCAATATTACGAATGATTTCAAGTGCGTCCTGCCCACCTTGGCTCACCACGCCCACCGCCCCCCATACCCTCCCCACATGTTCCCCTCATTATCCTGCCAGGAAGCTGTGACCGTCACGGCTAGGCCATAGAGGACTATAGCACAATGACATCCGACCGGTCAGCGACAAAGCGACTAGGTCCTCTTGTAGAGGTACCTGGAAAGCTCCGGGTCGCCGGAAATGTCGTCCTCCTCGCCCCAGAAGTCCTCGGCCTTGTCCCCTGCACCGCGGCCCCTGGGCTCGGCGGCTTTGGCGATCACGTTGTGAATGTACGCCACGGCGCGTTCGACGTTGCGCTTCTCGCCAACGACGACGACGTTCCTGTTGGGGGTCTCGTCGCGAGGAATCCTGACGCGCACCTTGTAATTCTTCTCAGTGTGTCTCAGCTCGGAGCCCGCCTTGCCGATGATAAACCTGTAGTTCCACTCCTCGATCTCCAGCTCCTCGTGCACATCGCCGGGATGGGTGATCTCGTGGTGGTAATACATCACGATGTCGTTGATTACCTCCTTGGCCTTCTCGACATTTTCACCCTTGCCCGCAATCGTGACCATTGTTCTCTTCGGACCAGACCCAGGCGGCCCAGAGCTTTTGGGCATCGTGATCTCCACTTTGAGAGCATCCTTGACGGCCCGAATGATGCAGCCCTCCTTGAGAAGAAGAGCAAGAAAAACTGCACAAGCAGAAACTCTCGAAGGTCCG